TTATTCGCCTTCGTATTATAATGAATAAGATAATATTTTACATAATTTACATTTAATTCACTTATTTAGCTGAATCTAATACAAGCATCCTTAGATCTTCAATCTTTTACACCTTTTTCCTAAACATAACTAGATTGTGTTGAATGCTACCATCTTAGATAGCGGTGCTTTATAGAATTACAGTTTTAGTTTCGAACCGGTTTCAAGATAACTCAATTGATACCAAAACCAAAGAATATATATCTTTATTGATTATTAAATTGTTCTAAAGGCACTCAAATCTCATTAGGTAAAATCGAAACCAGAGATGGAATGTTTAGAAAAACTATATATACTAGAACCGAGAGGGTATTTATATTTTGGATAAGAATAATGTTTCACTTTTCATATTCATAAAATACAGTGGGCTATACTAAGATAAACCTTTTTCCAAGTTGTAGTGCTTTATCATTTTTGGATTCCTTTAAGTACCGTTAAACTAAGATCATCGAATAGTTTGCTTAACTTACTAACATTCTATATTAATAATATATATATAACGTATTTATGTACTAAAATACCTCGTATGTAAAAAAAAATACTTCGATGGGATTAAATTGTCTTATAATAACAATATCTTTAATAACGATAATGATTCAAAAAGACAATTTTTTTTATTAAAATGTACGTACTTTCCCTGTTTGCCTATTTCTCTATCTATATGTCTATTTATTTATATATCTGACCTGTCTCCCATTTCTTATTTTCCAACAGTCCCAACAGAGAAGAGATTTTAAATTTTTTTTATGTAATTTACGAATTTAATATATTTAAGTTAGAGAATCATATAAATTATTATCCTTACTCTTATCACTACCACCATAAGTTCAATGTGATAAGCCAACAAGGTTTGGTAGAGTTGCCTAGTTTCATAACTTTTTCAATGACTAAGGATCTGGTATTTAAAAATTTTTATAAGATCTATATTTTACTGGAGGATGAAACTGGGATAAATTTTAATTTGTTTATATATACTCTTTAACAAAATAGTTTTAAATGGTTATCATAGGATATGGACTACCCAATGTAAGTGTTTTTCTTACTTTGTTAGAGGCATAAGTGTAATAGTTTCCAAAAAAATCATTAACCTACTTATATTTTAAAAACTCCTAACAGTCTTAAAAAAAATAGCTACTATAAAATACCTATAATCTCTCTTTATTTTCCACATTAAATAAAAAAGTCATTAAATTTCTTTGGTTTTACGAGTATTATACACAAATTACGAAGGTTAATAAAGTCAAATTAAAAAAAAACACTAAAAATGAAATAATTTTATATGTAAGAAAAATTCATCTCTATAAAAATTTAATAATCAATTTATTGAGTTTGTCTGGCTTAAGAAAATTAAACGTATGTTTTTTACATTATTTAATAAAAATTAAAAATCATATTAAGAGTATCTCATAAATGCAAGCATAATTCATAATTGGATTATATTTTCATGAAGTTTTTCAAAAATTTTACACTAATTAATTATGCAAGATAAATGGAAATTCCATTACAGTTTTTGACATCGTTTTTAATTTTCTTGGCATTATAAAAATTTAATTTAATTTAACAAAAATTCTCCGATTGAAATGAAATCTCTGTTGCAATCTATTTTTTATTATCTAATTGCTTCTGGATTCTTTTATGATTTTTGAAGGTCGTCGCATCTGTTTTTGATATTAAAAAAAAAATAATTTATGAAATTCGCAAAGTGCTCGATCTTCATTAATTATAAAGAAAAATTCCATTATTTTGTAGAAAATTTTTTAAATGATTTAAGACGCTTTACTTAATAGAATTTAAATTTATTATCGGAATACAAAGTGGTTTATAAATTTATAAAATGGATATTTTAAGATTTTGATTATCAATTGCACAGAAATAAAAGTTCATAAGATATCAGTGTTCATTTTTATTAAAATAAAGGTTTATAATATAAAGTAAAGATTTAAATATATTGATACTAATAGTAACGATCTCCGATATGTAGTTATTGAGAGGATTTATATTTCAAACTAAAAGAAAAGAAGAACAGCAATTTATTATATATTCATTTAGTCAAATTTTTTTTAATGTACATTTTTCGTCAACAATCTTATATTCCTGTGAGGAAAATTTATTTTTTCAAATATGCTGTAAGGCTCGGACCCAACATTAAAAATATCTACTGCAAACTTACAACAGACTCAAAAATTTACTACTGTCACGTGTTATTATTTTGAAGTGGGAATGGTGCTTAATTAATGTATTTCCTTTGAATTTTTCTATATTTTTTTTCGATTTTAGGTCGATTTTTGATCTCTTCAAAGATCAAGGACTAGATATCTTTGGAGACCTTTTTGTCACTCTTTAATGCGTTAAGCAATTGAATTTGAATTGCAGTTTTTAAGAAAACTCTGGTTTACTTTTGTTTTATTTTTACGGGTCCGTAACTCTGCAGTCCGTATGTGTTTACTACTAATTGTAAGTTGGAAAAGCAGTAATAAACTACATTTTTTGAATTTTAGCTTTATTTTTATTTATTTAATGACTATACAGAATAAGGTTTACATGTTTAATAAAGCTTTTATTGCATATATATCCGACATTGAAACTGTACCCCAAATGGAGTTTATTCTTAACCGGATATAATTGTTGGTCTCGTCGGTCTTCATATAAGAGAACTTCCACTGTACCTCTAAAAATAAAATAAATTTTAAAATAAAATAAGATTAAATAAAATAAGGTTGAAATAAGAGAACATTCATTTATTAAAGTTTTCACTGTATATACATATATATGTTATGCTGAAGCTGACTTTCAATTTATTAATTGTTGGCTGTTCGATTTGGTTATATTTCCATTAATAATAATATTATACTTCTCGTAACATCATTGCTTAGTAAAAAAAAAATTAATACAACTTAGTTTTCATATTAAAAACTTTCAGTGCAATTCTCATTGCAATGTTAATAAAATAACTTCTCATAATTGACACAGATCCCAACAAAACAAAAAAAAGAAGAAGCAAAAACGGTGCTCAATGGGCGCAGTAGTTATTATATACGTCAATGAAGCACACTTCCTTCACGAAATAACCCCTTTCTATTAAATCATATTAACTGAATGCAATGCAATGAATTATGATTATGATGAATATATTTCACAGATCACATTCTGTCAACTTAAATACATTTTACAATGAACAAGTAACTCATTTCAACTCTTTAATCTTTGTCGACTTGTTCAGCAAAAAATCCAACAGTTGAGTAAAGTGGCCGCAGCTACTGCAGTCACCACTGCAACAGATGTTGAAGTATCTTTTTATGTTGCTGCAATGTCTGCAATATCTGCATTGGTTGTTGTTGTACTTGTAGTTGCTTAAGTTGCAATTTATTGGATGGTTTTTGCAATGCCTATTGGTGCCTTTTACAATGTTGCGGCTTTTTTTTGTCTAAAGAAAATTATTGTCCACCCGCAACGAATTCTTAGATTTGGCTATCGTACTAACGTCATCTGAAGACGAATTATTGGATTGGTCATGCGTTGCGGTGAATACGCATTTGCTATGCTGCGGATGCAAGAAATTGCATTTTTTCCATCTAAGCGCTTTGGTGTGACTTGTGTCTTTGATCTTTTGAATTTGTTGGTTGGTCTTCTAAAAAAAAAGACCAATCTGCTATGGCGAAAGAACTCCTGCTTTTGATGTGAACATAGAACTTTCGTTACGCACGTTTGTTTGAAGATTTATATGCATATTTTTAATAATTAATATAATTTATTTTATGTATGATAACACACAAAAAATACATAACAAAAATATATAAGTTTTTATATATATTTTCTTACATATATATTTTTTCATAATATCTAACCAAACATTTATACTATTCAATTTTTATTCAATATATAAATTTGTAAACACAAACTCCTGATTACCTCGAACATACTGCATACTTATTAAACAAAAAAGCTTTAGTATATTTTTCTCAAGCAGATTTTCATTCCATTAGCTTAAGATACTTTTATTGTATCTCAATGCACACAACGTGATCCATTTTTTCTCATAATGCAATTTTGCGCATTCACTTGAGCAACAATAAAAAACGATACCAAAAAATCTTCAAGACATGTGTTAACGTGCCGAGACCACCAAAGGGGCCCTGAAGATTCAATAAAAGTTTTTGTTTCAGTTTTTTATATAAAAATTGTTTACATTTGCGCAACATTAAGAAAACTGCATAAAAATGTTAACAAAAATATTTATAAAAATTTCAAAATATTTTTTTTTAGATTAACTGCATTCAATTTTAATTATTACAGAGAAATATTATGTTGTTTCAATAACTTTTTTTTAAAGTCTGTCATAAAACAATAAGAATATACTAATAATATGGCGTATAGTTCTTAATAAAAGTATAATATTCTTACGTAAATGATCATTGCAGTTAATAACTCATATCTGATAATGATGATCATAATTCTGCATTGTTTATCCGGGGAAGATTATTATTAAATTTTGCTGTTAAAACCTTCCAAAAAATAGTTCCACTTTTCTTCTATCATATATCCATGAGAACTGTTTTTCCATTACTGTTAATATGGTCCAAGTATTTTTAAACCCTGAGTCACTCCATTATGCTGTAAAACAATGGGCCAATAGGCCTAAGTAGATACTCTTTGCATCGCCGGTATAATCTGATCTAATATGGTCAATTATAGTAAGATATCATGAAGATTACTACAATGTCAACTTCTAAAGGAAAAGCTTTGATCAATGTAATGCATATATATTACGAAATATAAGGCTTGGAATAAGATGTAGGGTAGAGCAAACCCAGTCATTTGTGTTTTTAATTAAGTTTGAAAATAGTTACTACCCAACGAAATTTCTGAAAGAAAGCTCCTTTATTACTCTTATTGACGCCACGTTAATGACAAGCAATATCCCGACTCTGTCCCTAATTAAATTGCTAAGATTGCAATAATTCATGAGTACCTTCTGTCGTTTACATGAAGGTACTTCATTTGTAGCTATAGCTTACCCAACGGTTTGCTGTAAGTTTAACAAATTCCTGTTGCTCCAGGTATTTGGGTATTGTATCTCGATCGATGGTCTAATATCCTTTCACTATTCCGCTTTATAAGCGAGTACTCTTCCACTTTTACCAAGATTTCTTCTTTATATTACTTCTTTATATTCTTTATATTAAAAATGGTGTTAATGAAATTAAAACGTACTATCGATAATATTTCCACTGCACTTATAGTTTGTTTAAAGTTTTTAAAAAAATATATGAAACATTTATGAAAACGTGAAATTATTTTATTTTAAGATATCATCATTTACATTACTACTATTTTTTCTTTCTTTCTCTTTACAGTTGATCGCGCCATGAGTCCCGCACAATCTGAAGACTCTGGTTTGGCACCCGAACGCGGAACCACTTACGCCACAATCACATTACCACGTGATAATGCACCCAATATGGGCATCACATTTGCAGGTAAGTTAAAAATAGTAATACTTCAAACCACTTTAGGCTCAGACTCATTAATCCCTTCCCCTAAAGTCAATGATCAATTTGTACACTCAATGTAATTGCAGTAATTAAACTTAAGTGATCGTTTCCTTCAGTAGCGGCAGATAAAATACCAAATCGCACCCTCAGTTAAATGCTACATTATAAAAATATTATTATAAAGATTTTTTCAATTTATATAAATTATAATATTTGATGAAAATGATTTGATTTTGATTTCGGAATGATTTGTTTATTTCGAAATATGAGCCGAGCATTTGAAGTTGCGAGCGTTTTGCCTCAGGCGGCCACGCGTTGCGTCAACAAATTTTCAAAAATTTGACATAAGCCTTTGACATGCAAACAAGTATGTGCCTCGGCAGGGGAGGGATGGGCCTCAAGCAATTTGAGTACCCGTAGCAGATGTAATTAAGAAAGAGTACGTTTAAAATATTTTTATCTATTATTAATAGGAAAAAATCTGACAACTTTTGTTGCATTCCAGCATTAAAATAATATTCGGGGAAATTTTGATGAAATGGGAAAACTTGTGTATACATGATTTTCCGTTGGATCATAATTGCTTAAAAAAAATTTAAAACGAATGCTCTACCCTTTATTTTGATGCGTATGTAATTATTGTACAGATTTGACAGCTGTCAATATTGATATATAGTCATTAATGACTGCGGTTAGTTTAAAAATAATTATGTCGTAAGAGTTCTGAAAACGTAAATATAAAGTCTAAAAACATGTGGGATAGGTTAAGTGATTTCATTTTAAAATTCTAATTAAATATAAATTCATCAAACTATAATTATAAGCTTTTTTTATTAAATAATGCATTAGAAAGTATCAAATTAGTGATAACTCGGTTGACAAGATCGAAGATCAACCGCTATGAATAAGTAAAAGCAAAATATTGTTAGCAGCTTCAGTCAGACTGTCCATTATAATGGACAATGTACTTCTAATCAATACTTTTCCTTATCTGATTTTTTTAGCAACCTTGGCTGGATTTAGTTAATGTGTTGACCTATTTATAGAAAACTACTACAATTTATTTTTAAAATGATCTAAAATATAATTGCTTTTAATATGAGAGCATCAGAATAACCATAAAGAAATACGTAGCAAAAGGTTAAATTAAAATATTATTAAACTGAATAATATTAAGTAACTGCTTCAATTGCTATAATACTATACTATACTATACTATACTATTAGCTGTAGGATAAAAGTAACACTTTTTGGGCTTACTTTCAAGGGCTTACTTTACACGATATATTGTTAATCTCTTTCAGAACACATTTTAATATCTGCTAAGTGACTAGTTCTTTATATATTCTCTTGGTTCTCAAAGTGGCGTGTACTAAGATTCATTTATTGGGATTTTTGTAAACTAATTAAACGTTCATAGAAAACATTAAATAAAAAAAATCTATTATATATAGTGTGCGAAGTGGTTCAAAATATTTCAAGAGCTCTGCGTTGATCTCCAAAATTATCGCTTTGTATATGCCATTGACTTTTCTTTACAAAACAAAAGACTATCTTTTATATATGCATATAGAATTCGCAGTAACTTACACAGAAACTCATTCATAGAGTCTTTTTGCAAACTAATCAATAGTTCATAGAAAAAGAGATCCATTATATTTAGTGTATAATCATAAAGTTATGGTACCTATCTCCAAAACTCCTTATATGTATATGCTATTGAGTCTTCATTAAAAAATATAAGACTGTTTGCTGCATGTCTAGCATTTTTGAACATTCTAGACTATGCTTAATAATTCTAGCTTACTCTGCATTTATTTTTTGAGCATTTACTAGTGAATGCTATGCATGAAACCAAAAAAAAAAACATGAAGTTAATACTTATATGTCATTATTTATTTACATAATTATATTTTTATTACCTTTTTATAATAATTAGTGAATACCTTTGGTTTATTAATTCTAATTTGCGTAGTAGTTTATTCGTAAATTTTTAAGTATTAGGTAGAGAGACCAGTAAAAGCTTTGTAGACTTATATTCAATAATTTTTTTGACTCAATATGAAACCTTACTTATATATATGTATTTAATAACTATTTCTTGACAATATGTCTTTTTATGTCCAAATCACTCTATTTGCGTTTAATAGTTTTAGGTAGAGTATTTATATTTATTATATTATATATATAAATTTATTTCATAAATACTAAATTATTTATTGCTTTTAACTTAGAGCTTTAATATAATATTCTATTACCTAATAGTAGTATGATGTGAAGATTCAGTTGAAATAAATATGAACAAATTTTACCATAAATTAAAAAAAAAATTTATAATTCAAGCGAAAAAATCATATTTCTTTGGAAATTGCTCATAAAAATTAATAAACTCTTAAGCTTCTATATGATTTATAACTTTTGCATTAAAAATATGGACTATAAGATATACGAGTATGTGAATAAATTTTTAATAATAATTGACAGCGCAAATATTTCTATATTGAAATGATTTATATTCGAAACACATAAACCAATTTATAGGATATATTTAAGTTTATAATGAATTCAGTATCTTTAATGAGAACACAATTTATGAAATTGAATAACAAAATAATTTAATATTTGTAATTAATAATTATATAAAAATAAAATAATATGTATATATATATGAATATATAATTATTTAAAAGAAAATAGTAAAACTATTTTAGAATATTAAAAAAAGTTAGTCAAAAGTCGTTCTGTGTATCTGTTATAGTGAGCTTAGATTGTATTAGTTGTCGTATGAGAGTGGAAGATTTTTCAACCATCTGGTATCTTTAATAATGCCTAATATATTTTGTAAGGAGACATTCATTTGCTTAAATATTCGAAAAAGTAATTGAATAATATATTTAATAAAGATTCAGCAAACGCTGGACAATGACCAAGTATATGTGATTAACTTTCTTCATCCTTCTCATAATTAGGACACTATTGACTGAAGCGAAGATTCAATATTCTTTTAGGGTTTCTCAACCGACTAGATTTAAGCACTTTTAAGTAATTATGGTAGTTATATACGTCCAATCATATAATTATATTTCTATCCAATATTCTATAATCATTTCAAGGCAAGCTAAAGTTTCCTAATTGCAACAATATCTATGAAAAATAAGCTACAAATGATCACCAAAACAAATTGTAAACTAAATATATATCAGAAGGATGGTAGATAAGAGCCAAAATATATTCCCGATTGACAACATGAGAATTATGTTAGGAATTGGAAACACAATCCATAAGTAAACACGATATTAGATATATAAAAGTGAAACCGTTGTAATATCACCAAGAATTTACAAGCACGCAAGCTGACTGAAGAAATTTTTATTGTACCTACAATACATTGTATAAATGGATAATACTTATAGTTTGGACGGGTAATCCTTAGTGTCGTTTTAATAAGCTTGAGAGTTTTATTAAATCACTCATTAGTTCAGGATGAATATTTAGGTGAAAATAGATATTTACAACCTATACATCGAATAGATACCTTTTATTACCGCCCAGATTATGATAGAGTGTACAAGTAACATTTTTCTGTTCCTACTCCGATCTATCGGATATGTAGTCAGTAATTGCTGCAATAATTAGGTAGTCGGTAATAACGTAATGATGGTCACTACGAATTGAAATGTTATTATAAAATCTTTTTTCATATTTTTTATTAAAACTATTGTCGTGAAATCATTATTAAGACAGCAGTCCTCTCACTGAAATGGGACGCTCTGGTTTAATCCATCATTGAGTCTGACATACTATTGGATTTCAGTTCTCACAAGAAGAATTGCCTCGGTAAGGAACAACACAACGATGACGACATTACGCAACGGTCAATGATTAGACTAAGTTCATAAATGTTGTTTCTGAACATGTCAATAATAATAATAAGAATAGTCATCCAGAAGGCGTCCAGAAGAGTTCTTATTGACGCGTTAGTTATATATGTATTATTTATAGATAATGTCATGTCATGTATATCATATATGATATGATTTAATTTCATAAATTTAAATATTAAATTAGAATTTAAAAATTTTTGTAATTAATATTAACTTTATCTAAAGAATTTTGTTGTGTTAAGTATCTTGTTTTTTTCTTTAAAACTATATTAATAGAATTCGGATGCACTATAATAAAAAATAATTCTAGGTTACCTGAACTAATTTTAAATTTTCTGAACAATTTGTTTTTATATCCAATATTAATAAAAATATTTTTATGATTATTTTATTGCTTGTTCGAACCAATATTATTGTTATTGAAGACATAGAGTGTGTGAGAGAAAGAGAGAGAGAGAGTGAAAAATAAGTTATTAAATATATTTTTAGTGATTCCATAAAAACTTTGACATATCTTTTTATTACGTCAGTGTGGGTGTTTATTATCAACTAAAAATCAAGTATTTATATATATCAAAATGACATAGTATCTCTGTTTGGAATTACAGCATAAAAATCTTATTGCCAATGTACACGTACTCGTATAAATAGATGTGTGTATTTGGATATTGTACGCATGGATAAATGCAGATTCATACCATGAAAGCGCAAAATACATGTTGACTGCCAAAATAAATCATCTTCAGCATCTCCCCTAAAAACTAAACAACAACAGCAACAAATCATATTTATCTTATCTAACAAAAAAGCATCTATAATCTGCTGCAGATATATTTTTTATGGCATTATAATAATGATGTTATGATCTATAGCGTGTATGTGTGTGTGTGTGTCTGAATGTGGATTAGGCATAAATGAACTTTATGAAAAATTGAAATGTATCTATTGTTGTCGTGTAGAAATTTCGTATTTTTCTGTTATATTTTTTGGTTCCTTGATTTTATAGTAGTGACCAAATGTCTAGACTCTAGACGAAATTCTAACCATGCGTTGTCATTTGAAAAATTGCCACATGGCGCAAAGTATGAAAAATCGGCAGAGCCGGCAAAAATAAATAAAATAAAATTAAATAAATATAAAAAATTAAGAAAAATAAAACAAAAAATACACTAACTCACGTTAATGACAACTTTGGTCTACTTTTGAATATTGTTGTCATGAATATTATTATTACTATTTTACTTTATAAATGTTTTTATTTTATTTTTTTTCTGCTGTATTTGCTTTTAGTTTAAATAAATTTGTAGATTTGATTTAAAACAGAAATTTTGGCAAGGAGCCATTATCATGCAAATAAAATAGTTTTTCTTTTATGAATGATTTTTTCCTTTGGTTAAAAAAAAAATATAATAAAAATAATGAAAAAAAGCGGAAATGAGATTTTTACTTAAAAATTAAATAAAAAGTAAATGACTTTAAAAAAAAAACATATTTTTAAAAAAATTAAAATAAATTTTTTTTATATTTACAATATTTAAATAACATTTTGCTAAAATAAATTAAAATATAATAAAAACATAGTTGTTTATACATTCATTAACATTAAATATTATAAACTGAATACTTAATACTTAATAATATTTAATATTATTATTAATGCATAATTTGAAGCTTTGCGAGCAATGACACAACATCACATTTTTTTTCTATCTTAAATAAAAACATTTTCAAATTTAATAATTTAAGTTAAATTACAAGAAAAATATTATTAACATATTTTATAGTTCATTTAAATATTATTTATTACACATAAGTATCATTAACATATTTATACATAATTTTGAACACATTTAAGCTTATAAATAAAATTTTATTCTCAAAAGTTTATTGCCGCAAAACAACTTAACACACAAATTGTAAAAGTTTGTCGGTTTTTTTATTTATATTTATGCACTTTTACCTCACAAATTTATAACACTTCAGACCGCATCTCAAGTGCACTTAAAATTTGGATTCGTGCCTCCTTCATGCATTTATGGCTCATAAAAAGTAAACAAAATGCACACAGCAACTTTCATAAGTAAATAAACATTTCAATCATTTTTAATAGAAAATCCGTAATGCATTCTGCATATTACAGTGTATGCTTCACAAACTATTAAACTAAACATTTGTCTTGTTTATTTATCTATTTATCGTTATTTTTCTCCTTGATGATATTGCAGAACGCAACGACCTTTCGTATCCACCTGTTATCGCTGCGCTGAGTCCACTGGGTCATGCTGCTGATTTTCTGGCGCCTGGTGATCGTATACATCAGATTGATGGCATCTCAACAATTGGGTTAACCAATCAACATATAATGAGCATGTTGAGCGGTGGAGATGGCAGTCCTGCTGTAATAGAAATCGAATATTCTTTACCCGAATACAGTGAGTAATCAATAAAAATTGTTTATAATATTTGTACCTATACTAGTATATAATGCTTATAAACATGTTGCTAAACATTTTCTTGATGTATATAAGGGTTGTATACATATTGAGTTTTTGAGTCCACTTACACTTTTACTAGATTAAATATTTATAAAAAAAATACTGAACAATAAACATGGTGGAGTTAACTGGAAGCTAGTTAATTAACATGAAATGGAGAAAGAAAATAATTTTTTAATATATTCCTATTTATTTATTGAATATCCATTATATCCAACACGTTCTCTACTACTGTTATAATGTAAAATTTAATAGTGTTTTCGATTGGTAAACCTGGGATAACCTTTTTATCGGGATTCACTTTTAGCTCAATTTTTATTTTCGATTGCTTAATCTGTATAACACTCGAGATTGATTTATAACACTCTAGATATTTTGCCAGAGTAGTGAGATTACATGGAAATTAACAGTTGTTTTATATGATGACAAATAAATTGTGATTTGTTTCGATATATGTATTTATGAAAAATATAAATATCTACTAAACAATTACAAACATTTAAGATTACTATAAAAAAAATAAAATTTGACAGATCGAGAGTAAATCTAGATTGGATCCAGATTTACCAATCAAAAACGCCATAAGTATAATGTAAATTTAGAATTTTCGGAATTATTCAATAAAATTCAGAAAAACCCTTTAATCAATCAAAATTAATTTTATTGCTTTCAAAAGAGTCCATTTTGGAAATTAATAATACCATGAAGTACCTAATCTAAATGCTCATATATTTTTGGTATATAGTTTGAAATATAAGGTAGTTTGAAACAGTAGTTTTAATCGCAAATAGAAGAAAGTTACAGGAAGCCATGATCAGACCATGATTACGGTGTTTTGTCTAAGAGTCTACGTGCTTCGCATCTTTTAAAAGACACGCTATTCTGTGATGTTTGAAACCTTTAAAATATGGTAACAAAAATTAAAACTAAATGTTTTATAGTCATTTTTTAGGGTGTCAGCAATCAGAATAGCACATTTTGCTAGAGCGACGGTAAACTTATATTAGACCCTTAGACAAAACATCGTATTCTTAGTTTGACGATTGCCTATTTTTGATGCGATGCACTTTGACCCTTAGACTAATACTAAAGTACTGCAAATACTAAAGTATGTTAAAGTGATTTTGCAACAATATTTTTAAGGGAACAGAAATTATGATAGTTCGTCTTGCAGGAAGCGCGGAGCACTTAGTTTCTGGACTGATCATAGCTTAGATTTAAAAGTCAAATCAAATATATTACGAAAGTATTTTTAAGGTATATTATATATTTAATATATATATTAATTAGTTTTGTATTTTTAATATGCATATATTGAATATATTTAATATTGTTGCAGATATTTCGCTACATTTTAATAATAAAATAATTTATTTGTGTAAAATTATTATTACACCAACTGAAAGCGATCTATATGTTAGAGCTAAAAAACTGAAGAAACCGGATACATCTGCTTTATTGAATAAATTATTTCTTATTTTTGTCTAACACATTATATATAATTGATAATTGATTAATTGATAATTTGCTAAGGTCTGTTTTTGACGGATCGGATTAATTAAGGGTTTGTTGTGATATGAATAAGCAAAAAACTGGGAGATGTCTTTTTATAGTGCTGATAAATGTGAAAACTAATCATAATATTTTTCGGCAAGGATGAAATTTATTTTAAAACCCAATTTGGAAGATATATAGTTTAGGTCATCTTATTTATTTTCTAGAAAATTCTACATATTTTATTGCTACAAATTTCCCAACAATAATAATTAATATAATTGTAATTTTTCTTTTTTAACAACCACGCAACAAAACTTTTCACGCTTTCACATCCGTCAACACCTCAACGAATCACCATGGAATGCACACATATCCGTCAAAATGAAAAATTGAAAAAATAAAAAAAAATATTGGAAAATTTATTCAAAATCAAAATTTGTGCAATGCAACGTTCTACTATGAAAATGAATCCAAAATATCACAAAAAAAAAAAACAAAAACTAAATGATTTTCTTCGGTTTGGTTGCTATTGAAACGTATAAACCGACAGTTTCCCAAAATAGTCTTTGCGTCACATCGAAATTGGCGCAAATCACTGTGGAACGCGAGAGCGGTTGCCTTGGCTTAACGCTACGTGGCGGCGGTGACTATCCACTGATCGTAACGCATGTACGCCCGCATGGGCCTGTTTACAAGACGGGACGCATCAAACCCGGCGATCGTTTGCTGCGCGTTGATAATGTGAGTATGTGGTAGAGAGAAATGCAATTGCACGCAAAGGACGGGCACTATAAGTACGCATATATATTTGATATATTGCACCTGTTGCATATTTAGCGATGCATTCGTTTCCAAGTTTAATAAGAAAATTATTTATTTAAACAATAATTTATAAGTAACATATTTTTTTGCCACTTAGGTTTCGCTTATTGGTAAAACTTTGGCGGAAGCGCAACAAATTATCAAATGTGGCGGACACATTTCCGGTTATACAAATCTGACAATTGAATATGATGTATCTGTGGTGCAGAGTGTAGAATTTTCTATGGGTCCCTTGCTTATAGAGATTGAACGCCCAATGAATGATAAACTGGGTTTGGTATTGTGTAATTACTCGAGTATTACACATAATGATCACACAAAAATCGATGAAGTGAGTCCGGCGAGTGTTTATATTGCCAGCATTTTACCGGCTAGCATTGCAGATAGGTGAGTCTTCAAAATTCGTTGAATTTTTTTTTTCTATTTGAAAAATGTATAAATATTTATTTAGTGTAATTATTTGTTGCTGAGCAACTAAAATAAAAGTTTTCTTCCTACAATTCAGTTCAATGCTTTTGTAATTGTTTTACGAGAAAAATTTGGCTTTTACTCAATTAATTAAAATAAATTGGTTAAGAAGTATTTCTTAAATGTTTATGGCATGTTAAAATATTAAAATTTTAATAGCGCATCATTAATCTTTAAGTCTTTAGTATATTTAAAAATTATTTTAAAACTAATTAAATAATCAGAGTATGTACCCAATGTTTCCCTAGGAACGCAATGAAATGAAGAAGAAAAAAAAATAATCAGAGTAAAATACAAAAATGCATTTTGTCTGGTTAAATTAGGTTAACCTTACAGACGTTAACCTAATCTCTGTGAGGTTATCCTGACGTAAAGCCATTTTTGTTTGAGGTCACACATCAGTTCTGTTGATCCTTAGTGATATTAAGTGTAGTTAAAGCTCAGTGTAGATTTTAAGTATGCATATTGGAGGGAAATAAAATTTATAGCAAAGCTGCATTAAAATATGTTGTAATGGTGGTTCTACGGACTTATGCAGGCATATCGCATGGCTCTGTTATCATGTATAAATAAATAAATCCTTAAGGTACTTAAGGTACTTAGCTTAAGGTACTATTCATTTAGCAGTATTATTGCTGCGTACGCTTCTTTACAAATAAATTCCCTGGCATGTTAAAGCCTTACTGATAAAGTAGACGTGAAGTATTTTTCTTATCCTTATCATAGTAGCAGTTAGCTCCCTAACAAGGGAATCTAAAGATCGTTTGATGTATTAATTATATTAATTTCTTATTAAACATGTCTTCTATTTTGCAGATGCGGTGCTTTATCAGTCGGTGATCAAGTATTATCGATCGATGATACGATTATTGAAAATTCTGCCTATAGTCCAGATGAGGTAATGACTCTTCTGGATAATACAACAATACGTGGTTATACGCAAATGCAAATAATGCCTGCACACGCATTGGCTAGAAGAGGTAAGCTATATCACAATATTTTATGACATTAAATAATATAAAAATTGACTTATATTAATAAAAAACTATTTGAACTAATTATTATAAAAATCACAGTTTTTAAATTATGAATTTATAAATCTTAATAAATTTAATGGCTGGACCTGATTATATGTGAAACAAATGTATGTTGTTTAGTATATAAGAATTATTAACCCATCCCAAAACCGGCGAGCATACCGGGCTAGCCAGCGTGCCATGAGCTGCTTCTGAGAGCGTCAAAATTACCAACAAGAAGACACAACAGATATGTAGTCCTAAATTTGCGGTTTAGGAATATGACAAAGAGATTTCAAAATAGAACTATAAAAAAATAGACGAACATAATTTATAAACTTCAGTTTCTTCTTCTGTTTCTGCTGTTGTCCTAAATGTACAATTACTAGTTTCACAAATATAAAAACCTTTAGGATCTATTTGATCAAATTTTTTATGAAGCTCAGAAGTGGGCAAAAAGCTTTACATCATGTAGTTTATGTTAGTTGATGTTTACATAAAGAAAGATGGAGAGGAATATATATAGTATCAATGGAGAATACTCTGTCGAATAAGATGTTTAAAGCGGTGGTTGGAATAAGAAGACATAGAGATAGACTATGTCTCCGATGATCAATTGAAGGGAGCATCACCACACATGCTTAATGAGCCCATACATTAATCCATACACTGCGTATACCAGAAGCATGCATGGAGGTAAGGAGTGGTGCTTTAGACTGAGAACCGATAATGAGTTATAATGGTCATATATGTAAGTAAGTGTGTAGCGGTCGTATGCGTATAACCCTACGCATAGTTGTCTACTTGACAACTATTCTTATCACATTATATACGTATTACTCTTAAGAAACGAGAAGGTATATCTCTTTAAAAGCCTACCACTGGAAATACTGCAGTAATTATCTCATAAATTTTTTTCCTAGCTTTACTATTCAGTAAAAGTTTCCTAACTTTAATTGTTTTCATACAATTTGATTCTGTAATTTCTTATTGAAACGTTAATACGTAATAAAATCGATTAAATAAATTAATAATGAAATGTTATGTTCACATAATAACTCAGCCTTTCACATTTCTGAAGAAATACTCCATTTTCCTACTACACCCACTTGCATATTAATTTGCAATTGTCTGTCAACGGGGCAACAAAGTGTTGACGACTGAAATCATCTCTGCCTGTTGCACTTGATTTGTGAAAGCTGTGGAAGATAAATGCCGCTCCTCTAAGGAGTTTCACTCAAGACCGAAACTGAATGTTGCAGTTATGCAGATTTTTGTTGTCATAATTTCAATAAAAAAAAACAACGTTCCTTAGAAAAATGGTTTTTCGGTTTATAAGCAAATTTGAGTGACAGACGACATCATGTTTTATGCATTCTTTGGCACATTCAGAGCTTGTGGGGCGCCTAAAGGGCAAACATACAAACAAATTTATAATTTGTTTGTTTATTAAGAAAAAAAAAATAATAAATTAATAATGCACAAAATTATTTATAAGCTTATAAATCCAAAAAAAATACAATAAATACTATAAAAAAATTGCAGATATTTTCGGTTTCGCTGCAGTTGCAAGTGCAGATATTGTCGTTAAAATTATATATAAATGATTTTTTACGATGACAATAAGTTTTTTCTTAGAAAAATGTGTATGTATGTTTTAAGTATTATTGAAAAATATTACTGACAAACACTTTGTGAAATTAGTCAACAAATATCGGCGAAATGACCGAAAGTCATAGAAGAGTTCATGAAAATTTTTTCAACGATTTATTCATAAATTTTATTGCTTCGAAAGATATTTTTGTGAAATTATAAAATTTTTAAATAAATTTGTTAAATAAAATTATTTAATATTTGTTAAATATTTAATTTAATCTATTTGAGAAAGCACTGATCTAACAAAAAGAATTTAGTCTGATTTGTTAGTTGTTTCGCAATAGTGTGGGAGGCTATGAAGTTTCAATTGAATAAAATTATAATACTCAACAAAAATGAACTGTTTAACATATCTTTCTGTCTAATTGTTTCTATCTCATTATAAATCTTATACAAATAAAAAAAGCTACTTAAAAATTGGCAAATAAATTTATATCTCGTACTAACCCAAACGCTTTTACTTTAGAAATTTACTCGAAAGTCATTGGTTGTTTCGTTTTTGTGGAGACAAAGCTTTATTTGCTGTTTTAGTAGCGTATAAGTCCCTAATTTTTACTAACCACAATAATCCAGTAAATGGTTTAAGTAGTCATGCTACTTAATATAATATACTACAACCCGCATATAAGATTTAAGCCGATCAACTATACACGTTGATTTTCATATGTGGTATCAATATGCTCTTCAGTCTATAAACTTACATAGAGTGGAAGGCATTCCAGTAAATACCATAAATACCATAGTGAAAGCATTTTATAGGATGCCTTAATGAAAGGCAGATCAGTACATCTGCAGAAAATGTGTTCAGTTGTCTTTACTACTTTTTATAAGCTCTAATTACCGGAGTCGTGTTTGAAGAGGATACTTAATTTTTCAGCATGGATATCAGTGACTTCAAAACCTGTTCAAGCTTATTTTAAATGATTGTTCTGCTACCCAAACGGTGCTCTTTAGTTCAGCTACAATGCTCTTTACTTCATAGACTTCCATACAGTGGTAGGGATTTAACAGAATGCTTTAATTAAGTCAGACCAGTACATCTATAGAAGATGTGTTCAGTTTTTTTATTTCTTCTTTTAAGCTCTAATTTTTGCAGTTGTGGTTGAAGAGGATGCTAAGTTTTTCAGCATGGTTTTATTTTTCCTCCAGTGACTTTTCAAAACCTTCACATACTTTGCTCAATCGATCATTCTATTACCACGATGGTGCTCTTTAGTTCATTCGATATGCTCTTTACTTCTATAGTGGAATGCTTTTATCAAGTTAGAGTAGAGCATCTGTAGAAGAGGTGTTCAATTGTCTTTACTATTCAGCATCGACACCAATTCAGTGACTTTTTAAAACCCTAACAAGCTTTGCTAAATCGTTCTGCTATCCATGCGATGCTGTTTAGTTCATCCGCTATGCTCTTTACTTCATAGACTTTCACAGTGCAATATTCTAATCAAGATAGACTAGAGCGTTTGTGGAAGATATGTTCAGTTCTCTTTATTTTTCACTATCGCCTCCTATCATCTACTGACTTTTCAAAACCCTAACAAGCTTTGCCAAATCGATCGTTCTACTAACCTCGCGGTATTTAGTTTGTATTTGTTTATAATAAAATTTATTCATTAAATTAAATTTATTAATTTTAATTGTTAATTATTATTTTTTTTAATCTCTGTTATATAATTCTATTGTTTTTGTTTTATAGTGTGTAACTTTTTTGCGTGCGGCCTGTCATAAATTGAAAAACATTTCACATACATTAAGACTGAAAAGTTTTCGGAAATTCTCATTTAAAATTCGCGCGCTGTATATTTTTCGATATTTTAAGTTTATGTAGTTTGGCAGCACTGTCCTTAATTACTATGCCAAAAATGAGCGCGATCTGTCAGACAGTTCGTTTACGGCAGCTGTTGAAACCAGTTCCCCTCAGTAGTGCGTTGCGAAATGTCTTCGACGGTCGTACGACCGTCCTGAAAGGCTTTGTACCACTCATAAACTTGAGTTTTCGATAAAACTGATTCCCCATAAGCCTTTTGTAGCATTCGCAACGATTCTGCACACGAAATTTCGTTCGAAACACAAAATTTGATGCAAACTCTTTGTCCAATATTTTTTTCCATTGTTTTTTTCGCAACGCACTACTGAGGTGAACTGGTTTCAACAGCTGCCGTAAACGAACTGTCTGACAGATCGCGCTCATTTTTGGCATAGTAATTGTCCTTAATTGCTGCCAAACTACATAAACTTAAAATATCGAGAAATATACAGCGCGCGAATTTTAAATGAGAATTTCCGAAAACTTTTCGGTCTTAATGTATTTTATTTAAGCGCCATTAAAGACACAAGGCTAATGTGTATTTGTTGGGAAGTTCAAACTTCATTATTAGCGAAAACATAATTATTTATAGCAACATTAACATTTGTGACTATAACAATACTGCAACAACAAACAGTTGAGCAATAATCGCAACATTCTGAGTTATGTCAATATCAGTTTGTGACATTTGTCGATCGTAAAATACATTAAAAGGGGAGCGCTTGGCCAGCTAATGAAATCAAACGATCGAGGGAGGCTGCTGATTTGTTGTTGTGTCGGCCCGATTTTAAAGATTGTGTTGAGTATAATTAGTAAAGTCTAATATGAATGTATCTTTGTCAATGTGTTGGACATGTTACCATATTTAATGTAATCGGCGACACTTAGTCAGTTGGGTTTTATGTGATTTGCTATTTTTAATTTCAAACATTAATTTTTCTTGTTGTTGTTATGGCTTTTGATGGATTTCATTTGGATGTGATGGTGGAATTATTCTGATTTATGGAGAAGATTGAGTGGCTTGGCTAGATTTTCTTATATTGCGAATTTTGTTCTGGATAAGTTTTAGTACAATTTATTTGATCGAATATTAAGGAGTGGTTAATTTTAGTTACGGGCACAGTTTCGTGTAATCATCATTTTTTAATAGGTCTTGTAGATCAATTGTGGTATTTTAGTATTTCTTTATGTATCATAAATTATCGAAAGAGAGAATAGCCAAGTAATTTATAATCATAAATAATCCAGATTAGTCACCAGCTTAGTATAGGTACAGACCCCACGTAGACTGTTTGTAATCAACGTGGAGCTTTTAGTTCTTAATGTACATTTATCTAGTAAAATTTATGGAATTTCCGGTAGTCAAGGAAACTGAGTCCAGCTAACCATGTAGAGTTAACATTGTAGTTCATCATGTAGACCTAACATTTGGTGATTACCCTAGACTCGGCTATAGTCAACATAGAGCTTTTTCTCATTAATGTCAATTTATTTAGTAAAAATACTACTATCAAACTTAATTAAAATTTTTGTGGACTTAAAAAATTAAACATGTTTTTTCTTATGAAAAATAAAATGTCAATAATAGAATCAAAAAACTTCTTATTCGGCGTTGACATTTAAACAAATTTTCTCTCCAAATTTGGAAGCAAAAGTTCAACATTCGACTTGTGCACAAATTAACACTTCCGACAGGAACTTGATGATCTTTCGAGTATTTCAAAAAATTAGACAAAAAAAAAATTAAACAAATTTAAAAACTCTTCCCCTTTTCTTCCAAAAAGAATAAAGAATTTTATAGATTTGTATTGAGGTATTTATTAGCTGCCATTGAGTAATATTTTCGAAAATCTGTTTGCAGCTTTTCTGTGGAATTTTCTGGGGTATGGGCACACTTTTTAACTCTGAATTTTTAAAAACAAATCAAACACAAAAAAAAAATATCAAGAAACAATACTGAAAAAATTATAATAAATATAATTTATATAAATATAAAAAAAAAAAACTGTAAAACCTTTAGAAACACATAAATATTTTTTGGGTACGCGTGAGTGAACACTTAATTTCCATTAAAAAATCTGCTGCATCCGAGCAGTTGAACAACGAATCTTGGGGGAATACCTAAAAATAGTCACACTAAAATATTGAGCACACCATATCAAAGTGATTTTCATCTAAACATTTTCCATATTTTTTTTTTTTGTACTTTTAGGTCACACAACTCTCGGCAGTCCAAAATACGGCTTCAGTACGCTGGAATCGCGCAAATCACGACAACGACAGCGTTTTGTGCGCAAAAGTTCGCTACCACTCGAAAGCGGTGGCAATAGTAGCGGTGGCAGTAGTGGGCCAGGGAGCAGTGCAAGCGGTGGTAGCAGTGGCAGCGCTGGTGGCAATAGTAGCACATCCGTTGTCGGCACAAACGCTTTGCATCACACTAGCAATATGGGCATTTGTCGAGCTGAAACATTTCCGGTATTATTGGATTGCAGTCAAGGTTCCGGTATTATTTTAGGACCACAAACACCATGCGGTCGTGCCATAACAATAGCACAGATTATGCCCGATTCGGTGGCAGATCGTAGTGGTTGCATACAGAAAGGCGATCGTATT